GTCTTTATAACTTGCTAGAGATAGTAGCTTCTTCATATTCCCCAGATTTGTTTCTCTCGGCCGTCCTCTTCCTCTTTTCTCGTTTATCATCCCTTCCATAATAATTGTAATTAACGTGTTATGTCTGATAATTTGTCTTGGTTCTTCTATCATATTTAACACTTCCATGTTCGATTTCTTTTCTCTCCAGCTGATCTTCATCATTTTCCTCCATGTCCACATCTCAAATGCTTCTATTCTTTTTTTATCTAGAGTGCTTAAGGTCCAAGACTCACTACCATATAACACAACACTCCTTCCTAAGCTTCCTAATTTTAATCTGTAAGTGTCTGCTTGTTAAAAGTTTTTGTTTCTTAATGAAAGCTTGCTTGGCCAAAGCTATTCTTCTTTTTATTTCTGTCGTGTATTTATTATCCTGCGTGATATGGTTACCTAGGTAGCAAAATGATTTAACTTCTTCAATAGGTGTGCCATGTAAATAGACAGTTCTTTGCATTTCTTTTCCATGTTTGTCTACTATTAGTATTTTTGTTTTTTTGGCATTTATGTTTAATTGGACTTGTTCTAGTGCTATTGATAAATTTGTCAGCATATTACTCAAATCGCGTTCATTTTCGGCTACTATGGCTATATCGTCTGCGAACCTTATGTTGTGTATTTGTCTTCCATTTACTTTAACACCTTTCGTTTTTTCTTTAAATCTTTTAATGGCACTTTCAATAAAAATATTGAACAGCAAAGGTGACACAGAGCAACCTTGTCTCACTCCTTTCCTAATCAATTCGCATTTTTTAACGTCTTTTATTTCAATTTGTGTTTTTTGTTGGTTGTATAGTTGGAAGATGATACGTCTATCCCTCCAGTCTATGCCTATTTGTCTCATTGTTTTAAATAACATTTTCCAATTGACGTTATCGAATGCCTTTTCAATATCCACAAACGCTATATAAGTGCTTCTATTCATATCTATTCTTCTTTCTAATAATACTCTCAATGCAAGTAAGGCTTCCCTTGTTCCTTTTCCAGGTCTAAAGCCGAATTGATCGTCATCAATATTGTTTTCAACCTTATTTTTTATCCTGTTTTTTATTATATTTAGCAAAATTTTCGAAGTATGCGATATTAAAGATAAAGTCCTATAATTAGCGCATTCTGTCGCATTACTTTTTTTGGAATTGTGACTAGTTTACTAATCGTAAAATCATTTGGTATACTTCCTGTAATATAACAATCTTGTATCTTTTTATAAATGATCTTCTTGACTTCTTCATCGGCATTCTTCAATAGTTCGCTTTTCATTAAATCAGGTCCCGCTGCCTTGTTGTTTTTAAGTTGTTCCAATGCAATGTCAAATTCCCTCCTAATGATCGATGGTCCTTTAAAGTCTGTTTCTACTTCATCTTCTTGTTCGATGTAATCAGTCTCTTCTGTGATGCATTCTCCGTTATATAACTTTTCGATATACTGTTTCCATCTATCACTTATGTCTTCCGTATCAGTTAATAATTCACCCCTTTTATTTTTAACTATACTGCTTTTTGTCCTATTTTGAAACGATATTGATTTAACTATATCGTATGCTCTATCCATCTTACCTTTACTTATCTTGTCCTCAATTTCTTGTGCAATGTCTTTCATCCATATTTCCTTTGCTTCTCTACATTTTGTTGCTATATAGTTTCTTGTTTTTTGGTGTTGTTGATAATTTCCTTTTTTCTTATAATTGTTCCTTTCTTTGATCAAATCCAGTATTTTTTGTGTTATCCACGGTTTCCTAGGAATCAATTTTTCACTTTTCAAAGTTGTGTTGACTGCATTTAATATACCTTCTTTTATTGAATTCCAATCATTTCAACCATCTATTATTTTTACATTTTCCTTTGTGCTATTGGCGAACAGTTCTTTTATTTCTTTATTCTTCAGATTCTGAAGATTCCACTTTAATGGGTTTTTACTTCTTACTCGATGCTTCCTATACTTTGAACATTTTAAAGAACATTTAGCTATCACTAATTTGTGATCGCTGTCAATTTCCGCACCTGGGTAGCTATGGCACGATTTTATTAAGGTGTTGGAACTAGATTTTGTTAAGATTAGTCTATTTGGTATCGGTCTACCTCACCCGGAGAGATCCACGTGTATCTCCTTCTTTTTGGTACTTCGAACATTGTGTTTTGTGCTACTAAATTGTACTGATTGCAGAAATCAAGCAATCTTTCTCCCCTTTCATTCCTGAGTCCTAAACCGAACTTTCCTGATCCCCTGTCATCATAATCTTCACCGATTATGGCATTAAAATCTCCCATAATTATTAATCCTTCGTCTGTCCTAGTAAGTTTCAAGGTATCTTCAATTTGCTCGTACATAATTTCTAATTCTTCTTCTGTGCTATTTGATGTTGGGAAATAAACTTGCAGTATAATTAGACTACCTGTCTGAGTTTTTTTATCTTTATCAACAATATTCTATCATTCACGTGTAGCGTGTTAACAATATTCTCTGCCCATTTTTTCTTCATTAATATAGCTACACCTCTCCGTCCTTGAAAATCACCACCACTTGTTATAACTTTGAATTCATCGCTATTAAAGTCACTATTGCCTTGCCATCTGGTTTCACATAGACCTAGAATATCAATGTTCTTTTCGATCATTAAGTTTTTTACTTCTTCTAACTTCCCTGCTCTTAGCATCGTTCTTACGTTCCATATGCCTATATTCATTACGTTTTGTTTATTTTTTTGTTTGACTGTTTTATCCGTTTTGTGATGAGGTTTTCGCTTGTTGACGACCTGAGAAGCCTCATTACTTCTCTTGCCGAATCTTGAGTATTCGGATTCATGATTAGTACTTTTTATATGACTAGAAGAGCGTATCATGGTTGTGTGTTGGGAATGGTAATGCAGTGGTTTCCCCTTGCCTTCTGCATCGCAGTAGCACCTTATATTTCTATGAGGTGCTATTCAAGTATAGATAAATCTATACTTGATACAAACAACGCTGCTGCCCATTGTTTGGTCCATTTTGGTCGCCTTTTACGACTGGCATGGACTACCGCAGGTGTATTTTAACCCCCCCCTGCAGGGGTAAATTGGTGAATAGATTACTAAATTCAAACATATAACATCATAGAAATGACCTCCATGTTTGACCCTCCCCTCCGGAATTTGTGACCTGTATGTCCAGATCCTAATATTATGACGGAAAATGGTTATTTTCATCCAAAATAAGTGTCTGGGTTAAATTTCAGCCTTCTACAATATTAGGAAGTGGGTTAAATTCATTTGGTAGATTTGAAAAACATGAAATTTCAGTGAAATGGCCCCCACATATGACCATGTGTAGGACGACTTGGATTTCTTAGTCCCAATATTATTACAGGATATTGTATTGTCATCCAAGGTGAGTGTCTGTCTTAAGTATCCTCTACGACATCGGGAAGTGGGATAAATCATTTTCCAAGATTAGAAAATACCCGTACAAAAACGTACGTTCGTGTTAGTGAGTTAAAGCAAATTAAAAAAATAATATAGCGTTGGTTGTATTAGGTATATCGAAAAAATACGAATGACGGAACACAGGAAATTTTGTCATAAATAATATATATGAATTTCTTTTCTAAACTATATGTATATGAAGCCTGAGAAAAATTAATCCTCGTAAAACTCAACTTAACAGAATTTTTTTTTTAAATCACTGTCAAGGATACTGTGATAGTCCAAAATATAATTTAACTACTAAAAAAAGAGTCCTAACTACTGAACTCATAGTTACATATCACAGTTTAAACTTTAAGGTAAGATTTTGTAAAAAATTGCCTATACTTAACTCCTTAAAAATGGGCGTCCTCTTATGTTTTAAATTTTTCAATCTTAAGATATTTTTTACCATCTACAATTTTCCACCAAAGCGTTTTTTAAGTGATCAAATCACAAAGGGTTAAAACTTATTTTTTCTGGCTATTATTTATCTTTTTTTAATGAAACCTATAAATTAAAAAAAATAAATTTGTGCGTGCAGTGTGCGATTAATCATAAATCAGTATTATTTTCAAAAAATATACCTATGTACAAAAAAATTGGTTGTACAAAAATATATAAATATATTACACAACACCTAAATAAATTGAATAAAAAAAAAATTATGGCGGTACTGGTTCAATTGCAGTTATTTAATATAATTAATTAATACTTTATTAATATTAAATAATACTCCAGTTTTTAACAAAAATGATTGTACTGCAATAACATATCTAATATCCCTTCACTGCATGATTTTTTTTTTACCATATGCTATAAATGTACTTAATATTACTTAAAAAATTTTAAAAACTTTTTTTTGAGTTTTGGTTTTATGGAAAACGCTAATTAAAGAATTGTGCCAAATATGGAACATTGTGCATCAAAGATGTATAGCATAAGCAGATTTAAACAATAAATACAATTGTTCCATATATGGAACATTGTGCAGTGAAGGGATATAGTTAAAATTAATTTAAACTTTTTAAAATAACTAGAGTAAGGGTAACAGAGCTCTTAGATTAATACTAAATTGATCAAATATCTTGATTTTCTTTTTTAACAGCTTGATAATCATCGACAAGTGCATATAGTTTTAGGCTCTATTTGTAAACAAATAATTATAGCTAATCATCATAATTATTATTAGATGTAATTCGTTTATGAGTTTTTAAGTCTATAAACTAATACAACAACTCTGTTATCGAACATACATTTCTATTTTTAATGTAGTTAAATCTAATATTCTATTATTTATTATGGTGTTTAAGAAGTTATAAATTAACATTAATATAGATACATAAAATAAGTAATAAGTAAAAACTACACTGTAAAATCTTTAAATCTAGTGTTCTTTACAAAGTTATAGCATTTACTAAATCTAGGTACTCATACTAAGCGTGATTTATTTCAAATGTTGTTATACTGTTTTTTTAAATCTTTAAATTACATATGTTCTAATACAATGTTTTGTTTTTAAAAGGATGAAGATGTGCAAGAGGCGTCCGATAGAAGACGCTGTTATCTTAAACGAAGTATTTCACCGGTAAGAAATACAAAAAACAAAAAACCTAAAGCTGGTTCATCAAGTAATAATGAGTTATATTATTTAAATTTACCTTCCAAACATCTGATAAATAAACAACAGTTAGAACTATGTGGGAAAATCCCATTAATCGTTCTTCGTCCCTTAAGTCTTGAAACAATAAAACAATCGCCAAATTGTAACGTCAAAGATAATACTAATACAACGAACCTAGAACAAGATACAAGAAGCGAAGTTATTAATAACCTCAATAACGATCTCAAGGTAAATCTCATTGAAACAATGACTAAATTGTTGAGTCAAAGCTCAATTAAATTTAGTTCCCATATTATGAAAGGCTGTACTAACGCAAGTTCGGTTGAATCGACGACTTCAAAAATCCCAGTTGAATCAAGTAAACTGGAACAGGCTAATTGTACTGGTCCCATTGACTATGTTTCTAGCTACAAAGAAAAAGAAAGCTACAAGAGTCAGCGGGAAACTGAATTCTCGAAACAGTTATCCAACATCAGAGATAATGACCGTTTACAGGATCTTAGGCAAATTTCGGACAGTCAAACTTTAAAAATCCCAGTTGAGGCAAGTAATCTGGAACAGGCAAAATGTACTGGTTCTATTGACTTTGTTTCTAGCTACACAGAAAAAGAAACTTGTAGTCAGGGGGACAGTGAACTCTCGAAACAGTTATCCAATATTAGAGATAATAACTGTTTACAGGATCTTGGACAAATTTTAGAAAGTCCTTTATGGTTAGAAATGTTAGACATCTCGGAAGACGAAAACTTGCTGAAAACGTGTTATTCTGAGACAAGTCTATTGAGATTAGGTATCAACACCTACAAAAAAACGTTGTTTGATGAGTTCAAACCTGTATCAAAGAGTAGAAAACTGAAAAAAAAGAGATTGCAGCTTCAATTAAAAAATAATAGGAGCCTAATAACACTTTATAAAAAGAATAAAGGTACGCAAATTCGAGTTACAAGTAAAAAAAGATTGTACAATAGTCACATACGCGAAAGACGTCAATTTTGGGCTGAATATCGAAAAACACTTGTTAATACAGATCAGTGGAAATCGTATGTTCGTATGTTTACTCCAGGTTCCACTCAGGATTTTAAATCTACTGATTTAAGTGATTCTGCTGATCTACATTCACCTATTACTTCTCAGGATCTCACGTTGTTGGAAGGCGGTCTCGATTTCGCAATAGTCTTTAGCGAAATTCGACGATTTAAACTAAGACAGAAATTATTTTTTCCAGATAAGTTGAGTGTAAAAGACCAGGCCATGGCTTCTCGTTTATTAAAATGCATGTCTAGTTTTAAAGGTTCACAACCCAATTCACCTAAATCATTGAAAGACTCAATTAACTATAGTTATAACATTAATAATGAACGGATAGAAGTTGAAGATACAATACGTGACGTTCTGGATAATGTCGTAAGTACTGTTTGCACTACCCGAAATGAATGCAATACTCAAAATTCTGACTTGAATATTACGGATAGTTTATGCTTTTATGAAAACGAATATGACATTAGAGAAAATATTTTGTTTAATGTTAATCTTTCTGACTTAGCACCAGTTGACATTCTACATAAAAATAATGAAAATGATATTGTTAACCTAACCATTCCTGAGGTTGATATGGCCGATATCAATAATATGAATGTACCTGATTTGATTAAATGTTCGAATGTATTGTCCAATTTGAACGAAACATTGATAACAAGGAAAGTGTATACACAAAAAGATGCGTTGGAGGTTAATGTATTAGAAAAATCAAAAAGTAATGACATCAAAAACTTGAACGAGAATAATAATGAAAATTTAAGTGAAAAAACAAAAACTAACGAAGACAAAAGCTTAAACGAACCATTAATTGAAAACTGTAAAACGTCCACTATGATATCTACCGAATGCGACTCTCAAAACGCCATTGATTTCATGGACTATTACAGTTGTATGGAAACGAGCATGTCACGCAGTAACGTTAATTTTATCTCTTCCGATAACACACTTTTAGCCAAAAACTCGGAAATCAATAAGGATGACGTATCAGTAGACGTGAATACGGCAGTAGACTACAAGGTAATTAAAACTAATGACTTTCATGTTACAAACAATTTCGCCTATTCGATTGATGACCATATGAATTCCGTGCTATCCGAAATTGCCATAGACGCTGAAGACAACGGATCGCCCTCAACCGACGACTCGTATAATTTGTGCATCGTGACTAATGATGACGACGTACCCGTCCCTGATACATTCAGTGATGAAGACAATGAAGGAGAAATCAATACTACCAAAAACATCGGAACTCTCCCATACGATCATAAAATCGTTGACACAAACGAAGTATCCGAAGTTGCAATTGATTTAACTGTTGATAACCATGAAAAAAATGTCAATATATATGAAGGACCAGTAAACGAGTTGCAACAAATAAATTCAATCTCTATAACTTTGGAAGACGTTGCTGATAATAATGTCGTCACCAAAATCGACTCGCCAAAAAACTTTGAAAATATAGTGCAACATGAACAAGACTTTACGGGTATTGTATCGGTAGAAAAAATAATGAAATGCCAATCTAACGAGGATAAATTAAAGACGTGGAACGTAGCAAGCTCTTCTAGTGTTTCTAATTTAGACAAAGTGAACATCCACGATTCAAAATTGTTTGAACCAGTTACAACTGACAGTGACGAATGGTTATCCGACGATTCTTCTAAACCTAGTACTATATCCAGCATTACACACTCTAATTTGGACAATATGAGTTTCAGCGATGACAGTCATAATTTTGGAGAGCCAGAACCTTTCTCATCCCATCAAATTGACGTCAACAGTGAGTTGTACAGCAACATTGATGTTATGTCAGACGAGGATAGTAATTCTGTTTGTAGTTCTTTGGATGATGATAAAAACACCCAAGTAAAAAACGATGTTAATAATGAAACTAATAATAAATTTATTTTTCCGCTTATCAAAACTATTACGGATATCGCATCGGACGATTCTAATTCTGAGAAGAATGAAAACTCTTTAAGTGCTTCGAGACCATCTCTAAGAGAAGATCGAGAAAACGATGTGGAAAATAATATAGTGTCTCGTGAATTAAACAATGTACATTTTTTAGAACAGTTTGATCAGCAGAATTTAGAACACAACAGTGAACTCTCCTTGTCTTTAAATTCTGTTTCTCTTAGCACTGACATTGACCCGGATCAGGAAAATATAGATTTTAGATTAGAGGAATCTGAAAAAAATACTTTTAAAAATGCTACCGTAACTTCTGGTGAGCTCCGAGAAATTGACTCCGACAATGAATTACCTATAAACATACAAGATGAATTGGATACATCCATCAGTTCCTCTTGTAATTCACCAGAAAGTGATCAAATCATCAAAGAGAGGGATGACGTAATATTTGTTAACCAAATAGAAGTTTCGACGACTATTGTTGATAAAATTGATTTGACCGAAACTTCAAACCATTCTATTAAGACCAATGTGCCGCAAAATGAATTTATTATTGTACTTGATGACGAAGATATGAAATCTCCAAGTGGTGTCAGTCCGATAGATCCCATATTGGAATACGAAGTACATACTAGTGCAAGTAATGATTCCATAATTACGAGTATCTCTGGAATCGACAACGGTCAAAATCGAAATGATAATTCTATGGACACCAATACGAATCGTAATACTAGTCCTCTTTATGAAACTATTACAATAATCTCATCAGATGACTCTAATTCTGCTACAAATGAAATGTTGAATTCTTCCTTACAATCTACAGAAAAATATCAAGAAAACAACGCAGAGATTGCATGTAATTCGTCAGAAGACTATCCAAATATGCAAGATCAAGAAGACGTGGTTGCTGATAACTCAATAGAAATTAACCAATCAAAAACTAATACTGTAGAAAATCTCAGCACGACACCTGTGGCGCATCGGGAAATAAATGTAGACAGTGAATTGGCTATGTATATAGAAGACGTATTAGGCGAAATCAGTGACTCTGAATCTGATTCATTGGAAAGTGACCAATCCCTTCAAGATGTCGAGACTGATATCAATCCAAATAAATTTGTACCAACTTTTAATAATGATATGATTTCAACCACAATTGTAAGCCAACCATCTTTTAAAGTATCGAATAAAGCAAACCATGTTACTGATACGAACCCGGAAGACCCTAATTTCAAACTAGCCAAATCCAATACTGTTACTGACCTCAACAGCTGCGAGCAAGATAATTACATCCCTACCAGTACTATTTCAAACTCGCAAAGCACAAGTTCAGATAACAGTTCTAGCAATGGTGATAGCGATAATGATAGTGATCTCTCTGAAAGTGTGGTAGAAAAATATGATAGTGATAGGTGTAATAGGTATTCTAATGCCGTTTTAAATATTATCCCGGACAGTATTGCAACTCCAGATGTTAGTGTCCAAGATTACGAAGACAAAAGTATTAAAAATTCAAACTGTAAAAATAACTTGAAACCTTCTGAAGTTTCCAGACAAGAAGATAAAGATGTGACAACTAACACTAGAGTGCACGATAATTTTAAACAAGATTCTCCACCACCCGACGGATCCCATCTTTTGAATAGCACAGCAACGCCTACAAATATCTCCCAAGATACTGAGGTTCAGATTAAAGAACACAAGGACAATAATAATTTAAAAAAAAATATTTCCTCGGTGGTTGATCACTCATCTAACAATCAAAGTGCCAACAAAGATGAAGAAATACCAGTTACAGCTACAACGTCCACGCAACAGATTAAAAATAGTAACAAAAAATATCGCAGTGTGTATTTTAACGGTACCACCTATTTGATGACTTCTAATACCAATTTTTATATTGGCGACTTCTCCGACTTAGTTAACAATGATGATGGACGTAATCTTTATGCTGATATTGTTGCCACGGACCAGCCAGCCAACCATAGTGCTGCCAGTAGTACCACCAGCCATAGTACTACTGTCACTCGTAATTTAACCAAAGTTACCGCAAGTTCTTCCGTGACAGTTAGTCCTGATGTTACCGTCAGTCAGACTACCGACAACATTGATGCTAGTGTACATTCGGACCGTAATAACGAAACTGGTCCTTCCAATAACATGTTGGATGAAGCTAGTTCTACAAAAACTGACTTTGGGGTTGATAAACGGCCTGTTTATTTTCACAACCGCCCCACATACACTACTAACCTTCCTGCTGACATGTATGCCGATGCTTCTGTTACATTTACCGGCCTTCCGACTAACGTCATCGACCCAGGCTTAAATGACAACTTTAGATTCATTGAAAACGACAATCTTGAATCGTTTTACGTGGACAGCATTTCGCACCACCGTTTTTATAACGATGAAAACACTGTTAACAGTAACATATATAGGGAAAACAACAGCGTTTCTGTCCTAAATAATTATTCCAAATATTGCGATAATGTACAACTACCTGATCAGTTTGATGCTAATGAATGGAAATTGTAATTTTCACACTTTCACTAACAAAAATTAAAAGTTTTTACATAGTTTCATGTTCAATTTTTTTAAATTTAATTTATAATTTATAATTGTTAATGTACATAATTTAATCTACATTTTTCTGCCTATTTACTTCAATTTAATTTTTTTTAAATTCATTTTGTATAATTCATAATAATGTGTTACAAGAATTTACTTTCTGTAATTTTGTGTAATTAAAAACATAATTAAATTAGTTTTCAATTTAATATTAGTATAATATACACATTTTTAATTACAGAGAATATTTTTTTTTATTTTATTCTCAATTCATTAATAACAAAAATTTGATTTTTCTAATATAGAAAATAATATATCGTAATATATAAAATATATTACGATTTTTAAAGTGAACTTATGTACTGTTACTGTATATGCTTTGCTTGCGTAATTAAATATTTATAATTTGATATATATTCAAAAGATCTTTTGTTTATAGTGACTATTTTGATTTTCCCAATATTAATGTATAAGACTTCAACTTTTTCTTTTTAAGTAAAAAATATAAAATTAATTAAGTACTCAATTTGTTTATATTAATAATTAGAGACACTGAAATAGGTATACTCTAATAGTGCATCCTATTACCTATTCCTTTGAATTTAATGGATTTTGTTTTAAATAATTACAATGATTAAAAGTGACAAATATAGTACCTATATTTTAATACATGTTTTGAACTTTTTTGTGAAATTTAAGGAGTTTTGGTTAATTCTAATTCTAATAAAAAACATCTATTAAGTTGTATGTACATTTATAACAGTGAATAACTTATATGTAATGTATTAAATTGTATTCATTTTATGATATAATCTCAATTTAAAAATGCCAAAGTATATTTTATCATTTTGAGACTGATATCGTTCAAAATAATTATAATTACCTATATGTTATTTATTTCACTTCACAATATTTGTAAGTTTGTGAGTTGTTTATTTTTTTGTGTTTTTATTTAATTTTACAGTGTGATTTTTATTGATTTAATTTTAATATATTGAGTTGTTACTGATGTATAATACATGTATAACGTTTTTTTATCCCATAAAGATACTAATATCAACTGCTCGAAGTGATAATAACATAACCTATTAGGACTTTGATTCGTGAATTATATTCTACCATAATCTGCTAAATAAATTAGATATAAATAAAAACAACTTTAAGATCTCAACTTCGTTTTACTTTCTTTTGTTATTTTTATTTTATTATTTTAAATATTTTTTATTTTTTTTAGTTATTATTATTTTATTTTTAATTACCTTTTTTTAAAGGCATTAGTACCTAACAAAATTAAAACGTGCAATGAATACCCTAACTAAATGTTTTTTTTTTTTTTTTTAATGCATTATCTTAAATTGGGGTTTAACCTTGATATAAGGCTACGAAACATGATGAAGCAGCACATTCTCTTAATAAGTCTTGCATCAGTGAGGACATAACCAGATAAGCAGTGAAACGATTTAAACTTAAATTTTTGTATTTTAAATTACTCTTGAATTAAATTTTTTGGTTTCCTTTTCAGTAATTTATATTTTATTTTTATGATTTGATTTATTTAATTATTTTCATTAATTGTTATTATTTTTTATTTTTACTTTTATTATTTTTTTTTTTTAATTAATAAAAAAAGAATACCTAGTTATTATTCAGTTATGATTTTGTAAAATGATAAACCTAAAAAATTTGATTATTAAAAATTGGTTTATAAATAATATTCCTACTATAATTTACTTTCGTTAAACTTTGAAAAAATAATAAATAGAAATCGTAGATTACAGTCCTATACGTAATCGATAACTACGGTAAGTTTACAATTTACATAGGTAATATAAAATTGCTATATGTTTGTATTATGAATTAGTACAATATGTAAGAGTTGGCTAATTTATTTTAATTTTAGACAAATGAGTGAAACAGGTTCTGCTCAGACATTATATTAATACGTTTTTCTCTATTTAACAGCGATAACTTAAAAATTAAAGGCCCGATTGTATTAATAATTTGTAGGCTTCTTATTTATATTATTTATGCAAATATATATGATATAAATAAGCAATGGTAAGACAAAGGATTTTTTTTTTACAGCCTTTTTTCTAAATTACTAGGTAAATTTATCTTTTAAAATTGTATTAACTCTAAAATATTTTGACATTTTGTTTGTAACTCATCTATTTAAAACACTGCTTGTACTTTTGTACTACCAACTTATATTGTTGAAACACAAATGATAAATTAATAATTAAAATACCATGGTTATTAAAATAAAACACCACCCATAAAATTACGTCTAAGTTCTTTAGCTCTGTGTCTTTCATGGGTTTTTTTTCTGGTTCATAATAACGTTTTTAACCTAACCATTTGGTCAATTTCTTCATGTAGACCGTTTTTCTAAACGATTAACCACGTTGATGGCAGTAAATGCTATAGTATTCATGATTTTAAAGTCTTACGTTCCACATGACTGCTATTATTTCAAACCGCAGTTCTTATCTTATATTTTTAGGTTATGGCAATGACACGTTTAGGAACATTTATATCACGTGCGCTCGTTCGGCAAATCTTGTTATCATATGATTAAAAATTTTGTTCTTTCTACGTTGTGCTATCACAATATTCAAATTACAAAAAAACACTGTAGCTTACGATATTTATTTATTTTTTTTTTTTTTAAACTGTAACTTAGCATAGCATTCGTGACCATGTGTACATTTGTTTTAAATAAATTAAGTCATAGGACCAAAAACATGTTATAGCCGTCATGTGTACAACTTTCTCATTTTATAAGAACAGGTTTCTTAGCTTTTCGGTCATTTTACCTCAAACTTTATAAATTAAAATTAGTTCATAGATAATCTATTTTAGTTTACCTATCTTACCTACCAAATATTTTAAAAATTATTATCTTTTTTTTATGTGCAGAAAAATTACCACCATTTAATATTTAAGGGTTTAAAATATTTCCACCCAAAATGTACATTATTTGCAACTACAACAAATGTTCATTACAGTTTTTAATAGTTTGCTATCCTAATAACTTTACTAGTTTTTAACTTATAAAAAATAAGTCAATAAAACGATTTTTAATGCACATAACTCATAAGTTATACCTTTTGGAACGTACTTAACGATTTGTTTCATAGTCAATATTTCATATTGTCCCAGAAGGATTTATTCTAAAATGTTTTAGTTAAACTTTTTTATTTTAAAATCAATTAAGTTCAATGTAACAAACAATCCTAAAGGCTTCACAATACAAATGGTCTTCTCTTCCTCCCTACTTTCCCCTTGGAATTGGTCAATCCACTTTATACTCTTCCTCACAGCCAATGGTTTTATGGCCTCCATCTTTTACATTAAGATGTTCCTTAATTTTCCCGCTTAAGTTTTGGACCGTAACTTCTTCCTGCTTTCTCTATTCTCGTCTCTTTAATATCCTTTTCATAATGCACCTTGCATGAGCTACCATCCATTTGTTATTTTCCTAACTCCTTTTTTCATTGTCCCACTCTTTCTCCTTACAGAATTATCCTCTTTAACTTTCTATGCTTTATAGGTATTGACTCCCGTTCTGTTCCTATCATTCAATCCATTCTCAAATTTATCCTTGAAGTTGGATTTATTATTTATTTAAGAACTACCATTAATAATGTAAAAAGCCAGTACAGTAGTGAGGTAGGGGTAAAGGGGGGACAGAACATGGTGGGGTTGAAGCACAGTGAAGACGGGAAGGTCACAGGTTTACAGGAATCATCATTTTTAGTTGAAAAATTCCTGTAAACCTGTGACTTCCCCCCCTCCCAATGTACCAACCAGATGAATTAGTGATTCATAGAGTTGCTACTCGAAGGAATTAACCCAGTATTAAAAGAGTTACAGCGTATACAGACAAAAAAAAGCCCACGTCATTGTAAAACCAATAGCAACACTGCTCCGTATCGAAGCTAAAAACATAAAATATGGCTTGGTAACCTTTTTAACCCCTACATACATAAAGAAACAATTTCATATTGTCAGCGTTTAACAAAATAAATATTTTTTATGTACAACATTTTAATAAACTTATTTTATATTTTACAAGTCTATAATCTGAAAATATAATTCATAAGAAAGCATTTTGATTTATCATAATATAATCGATTGAAGCCAATAGAGGCTGGCATAACTGTGTTGCCTTATACATGACAAGAAACTAGATCGTCTTAAAAATTTAAGAACAAATGCTGGTCGCCGCGGAGGTAAGTTTTTAACGTTATCGGTAGTAATCGGTTTGTTAATTTTAATTTTATGATAAATATGACGATATTATAAATAATAAAACCAATCGCGTATCTTCCCTTATTTTTTATCTTATAATTTGTTATTTATTTTACTGTTACTTATTTTATAATCTTATAATTTCTCATAATTGTTATTATTTTTCCTACTTATTACCACGGCTTTTATAGTATTCATTTTACCTAGACATTTTTTAAATTCATTAATTTAAAACATATATAGCCTATAGGACCCGTGTTATTATTCTTGTTTCTGTTAGATTTACGATCATTCCTTATTCAATTCACACTGTATTATATTTTAATTTTAACTAATTGAATATTATTTTATAGTTTATATCCATAATAGTAGTAGTAGTAGTAATAATAATATTAATAGGACACATATTTTCATAATAATACGTCATTGTCAAACTGATGACATGAAAGTATTTTATTAAAAACTAAGTAGTAATAACAGAACTAAATTGAATAACAATCATTACATGCGTACACCAAACGATGAGCATAATTCTTCGTAGGCCACATAACTGATAGTCATTCCGGGTAGCATTTTGACTAGAGCGGCTAGAAACCCTCTGTACATGCCTAAAGCACCAGACGTCTTCCAATTGTGCTTAACTAAATCCATAAACTTAGCATCCGGCTGATCTGGCACAACAGAAAAAAATGTTTATTATTTTTAAATACATATTTTTACCAGAGTAGTAAATAGTTGATATTTTGATTAGGAGCTGCAAATTTCGGATTGCCGATTTCTCAAGGGGCGGTATGAACAAGTTAAATTAAATGATCTTATTTCTTGTTACATCAGGAGTCCTTCAAGATGGCCATATCTCTCCACTACTCTTTAATATTGTTTATTAATGACATTAAGTATACAATTAAGTGGGCTAAAGTTAGCCTGTTCGCAGATAGTTTTATAGTTTACATGCAGATTCAATCTGTTAAAGATTGTTGCAATCACCAGAACGGTAATATTGCTTTTGTGGACTGATGTACAACAAATGGTCTTAGTATTACCCTCAATGTAGGTGACAAATCGTGTCTTTTTCTATTCGTTTTGAATATAAAATCATGGATTCAGTACCTCTTAGGGTAAACTCCATACGTGACTTAGGTGTAATCTTATGTTGTAATTTAACCTTTAACGATGACATTCAGAAAATAATTATTAAGGCATCCCGTATTCTTGGGTCATATGTCGTCATACCACTTAGTTTACAAGTTTTAATTCTTTAATAATGTGTTTTACTATTCCTTAGTGAGACCCAACTTAGAGTAAATTATGGTAGTCTGGAACCCTGTTCATGAAAATTATATTATCTGTAATATTGAAAAAGTCCAACATAGGTTATCTTAAGTCTCAATCGTACTATTCTCTTTGCATAATTAATAACAACTATCAATCTGTCATCTCTTGTTTTAATATTCATACACTTGAGTGTAGGGGATTTTTTTGATATCAAATTTATCTATAATTTAATAAATGAGAGGGTTGGTGTTAGTAACCTTTTTCAAGTTTCCTGCATGTTATCCACAATAGGGTACTGTGTTTTATGTTGAATAACATTAAATATTATATGACACGCACTCACCAATTAATAGGTTTCGCTCCACATGTAATAATTTCGTGTTAAAGTTAGTGTATTTTTAAATAATATTATCACGATAAAAAAATCCAGCATTACCTTCTCCTAAATTGTATGCCTTTTATCCTAATTGTTTACCTCTTTGAATTTTTTATGTTTATAATTTATTAAGATATATTTATTGTTTCTATAAATTTTACTACATTTTACATTGATGTATACTATTTAAATTAAAATGAATTATGATGCTTTTTAATTTAGCTATTTTAAGTTATTTAAATAACTTGTTATTTTTATTGTTGTCATTGGCTAATTATTGGGTAATATTAAATGATCTTTGATTTACACAAAGAGCCATTGTAAGTTGGTACTTATTTTTGCATTAGTAACAAAATATTTTTTTAATTTAGCACACTCTAGAAACGTATCCAACGATTGATTAGATACTAATAAAAAAAAAAATGTAATTGAAAAATCCTAGTCAGCAGAATAACTAATTCCTCAAGCATATATCAAAGAAACCTTAAGATCGTCCTGCAGATATCCTAATTCAAGATATTCAAAACATTAACTTATCCTAACAGCATTGGGAATCCTAGTCAGCAGAATAACAAATTCCTCAAGCATATCTCATAGAAACATTAAGATCGTCCTGCAGATATCCTAATTCAAGACATTTGTATGTGCAAATCAAACTAAACTCCTATTAAATATTAAAGAGTCAACAATTCCATGTACTGTACAGTTTTTAGAAACAACGAGAATCATAATCATAATTATTAGGATAGTTGTAAAGGTGTTATTAAAAGAAACCAATTATTGATTTTTCCTATAATTAAAACTACCTTTTCAGACCCATGCCCCTTGCTCATGATTGTAAGATAAAACAATTTGTATTAAATTAATATATAATATAAAAGTTTAATAAAACTGATATTCTATATCAGTTTTATATAGACTATATTGTTATTTTATCAAAAATATGTGTCATTAATGAAAAAAGAAAAAATTTAAATGACTGATAACAACATTTCTTTAGATGGTCTACAACTTAATTTTAGTGAAAAAAACCTTATCCGAAAAAAATATTCTGGGTTTGAAGGGTTAAAGTTTTTAAAATAGCATTTATGATAATCACACAATTTGGAAATCTGGAAATCCTTGTAAAGTCAGAGAATTGCATTAAGACTGAGAAAAAATTATACAGCGAACAAAAATTGAAAAATAGATGAAATAGTTTTTTTAATTACATATTAGTATTTGATAAGTTATTTAATTTGTAGTTTTTAATTTTATAGCAATATAAAGACTGATAAATAAATTAAAACTACTTTTATAGCATCAAAAAGTCCCTAGTTTGGTTGAATAAAAGGTCCAGACAACCACGATTACAAGAATTCACATGCTTTTCTGTCTTATCCATTAATTAAGCCTTCATACATAACTGTCGATGTAATACATACTAATACAAGTTGTAAATACTAAACTCTCTCATTATGAAGAAATTATATAAATTTATGGATATAATATTTGATATTTCAATATCGTGTAACAGAAAACTAATACTCACACGTCCAGGTATGTACCTACGCAAGATCAAGATGATTTACCAACAATGATGATGCTGATGAAAATGGAGTGAAAAGTTGACAAAATCAAAGTATAAAGTGTCAAAATACATAATATAACATAATTACTTTTCAAAATGTTTAGATTTTGCGTCTAGTTATTTTTGTAGAAAGATTAGTAAAATTAACATTTGTAACGTTTTTCTTCAAATTATCTAAGGTTTAGATTTTGATCAAACTGCAAACATTTTACATTTTATATAAGATGTAATTAAAAGTAATATTGAGTTCCATGTTTACGTTCTCAAAAAACCTAACCTAATCATAATAATTGAAATGTTATATTTTAAATTATTAAAAATACAAACATTTTATTCCAACATTTTATTGTATTGTGGTTAAGGCCACTGGATATCGACCATTTTTAAGGAGTTTTGTATAGGCAATATTTAAGAAAAAAGTGGTTTTAATACATTTCGACCATGCCAATTAATTTACCGGTTAATTTTTAAAAGCATCATGGTATTATTTTTAATTTAAATCATTTTGTCTATGAGTAAAAGCCATTTTAGTTAATATAAAGTACATTTTTTGTCCATCGCACAGGCTGAACTAGTGATCCGATAAGTAATCTAAAAACAGATTTGAATTTGTCATGAAGTTTACTTGAGATCGGTCAGCGTACTTTTTTGATATCTTATTCCTACTATGCATAAAACACTTTTGAACATTTTATAAAAATTCAAATTTAGAAAGGGTTAAAATTAAAAATTGAAAAAAACGCTCTGACCGATCTCAAGTAAACTTCATAAAAAATTCATATCTGTTTTTAGATTGCTAATCGGATAACTGGTTAGACATGTGCGATGGACAAAAAAAGATGTGTTTTGGCTGAAAAAAACAGTCGGTATCCAGGGGCCTTAAGTTGCAGCATTCATATCTTTAAAATTCTAAATACGTACAGGTCTTTCATTTTATACTTGAATGAATCTCATGCTTATGAATAAGATTGATTATAATTTATTTTTAAATTTACAAATCGGCGGTAATATACAAAAATTGACAATAACTAGAAAATACGTTATTGACAACAACATTTAGTATAGATTGTACAATTTATACTCGATGACAATACTTAGGAAGTACAACGAGAGGAGTAGATATGGTTAACGATAACTTGCCTAAGACGGTTGTATTTCATTCATATCATTTAATTGAAACTTATTATTTCCTCGACTTTCCATTAACCCAGTATTTTACTATCGTTGAAAATTTGGACAAAATAATCGGTCGGGGTCTCTTATAATTAAGGAAATGATTTGTTGACACTAATATAATTATAACTAACGACTGATACAAGTACATTAAACTTGTTGTAAGCACAAGAACATAGCTACAAGTCAAGACAAGTAATCTACATTTTTATGGAAACTTATAATATGTTTTTTTTTAAATACATTTTGCAACGCCCTTGATCGTTATTCACTTAATTATTATTTTTGTATATTTACTGTTTGCTTGGAATTTAGTGGTCAGCATAGAAATTGGATAACACGTACAATGAGCAACAGTGCTGGAACATATGGCAGATGCCATGTTGACAGACCACTGCAATCTTTCACCATTTAACCGATTTTTGGACATTTCGTAAATCGTAAGGTCGATACCTGTAAATACCAACATACCTAGCGTATGTGGCACGTATCCCTTAAAAAATCCTGTTAAGCCTTCTTTCTTCCATGTCGTTGAAATAACTTCTGAGGTGCCGGAATACTTACCGACCATTAGCCGGGTTTTAATAATCTGCAAAAAAACTTGCACCGAATTAACTAGTTATAACTTTTCGACGTTATCAAAAGATTAATAGAAGCCAAATGATCAACATTATTCATTAGTCGACATATTAGGTTGTGCAGTTAATCTATAGGTTTATAAGTTCTATGTGAAACAGGATCAATTGTTACCCATGATGCGTTAGACTGTAATAAAATTATGCTGAGTTGGACTAAACGTCATTAATTTCATAAACCCGTAGTAGAGTACTGTGATTAGTCCAAACACTATTTATGGAACCTAGAAAGTTAGTTGTAACACAGTATTAACAATGACTAGTCAAATGTAGCATTTTTTTAGTCAGCAATCCTAGTAATTTCTAGTTGTTTCATAAAAATGGTAATCGAAGTGAGTTAAGATTGATTTGGCATTAGTTTAAATATCTCAAGTATAATTTGGTCGCAGTGTTAAAAACGGTTACACAAAATTACAAAACAATTTATTTTGTTAACTTTTTTATGTTTTTGTTTTAAGTGAATATTCATTACACTACACATACTATGAAAATAGTAAATACCATAAATAATAATGGATTATGTACATGTTTAGTTGATTCTGGAAATAAACATAAATCATCTACATTGGCTAATGTGCACCGGCACCATAACTAATGTCTAACATGTACAATATAGTCGAAGTTATTGGCATTGGCTGTAAAATTATTTGGGCGATTTTGCCGAAATAATTAGGTCAATAGTATATAGCGCAGAGTTTTTTTATCATCCCAAATAGGTGGTAGTAAACTGCGCGGAATTCAACTTTTTATCCGAGTTGTATAATATAATATATATTTTGTTGATCTTTTGGATATGAAGATTGAAGTCATCCTCTAGCATTGTACATACTTTTGTAGTAAATTTTATAATCACTAACCTCTAATGTCTAAACAAATGCGCTGAACTTGCTGTAAGACACTAATTTAGTATTTTTAAGGTCACCTAGAGATATCATCTTCCGCTTAACGCTTAGCCGCAGATCTCATTTTTTGACGCTCCAATATATTTGCATAGTTTTTTTTGTGGTTACGGACGAGTTGATTTGAAAATAATATTATATTTGTTAGTGTTTTGAGTGTGGCGGAACACGTTTTCATGGAACACTTCCACTTTTTTTCTCCATTCTACAGTTCTCCTGAACAACGATAGTTATATTCGTTTTTAATTGTTAACCTTAACCACGTTCGCTTAATATCACTTAAAAGTCAGTCATATCGCTATGTAAGTACTACTTAAGCTCGTCTGAAAATTTCCATGTGTAGTTTACTTCACTCATAATGATACAGATAATATTCCTGGCGCAATTTACTACCCCGTAGTACCATACGATAAAATTAACGGCGCATTTTACTACCATATTTCTGGTAAATAAAATCATTCATTTATTTTAGTTTTTTTTGCTATTTCATATTGTAGTTCTAAGACACATGTATTATGATAATGGAGTATGCGATTAAAATTATAAATACGCTTTATTTATATTATATCAAATTTTCTTTGAAATATCTAGATTTAAGATCTCTTAACTAATATTGTTACAAATACAATACACACACACACATATATATATATATACAGGGTGATCAACTTATCGTGAATTACTGGGTTTAATTAATAATATAATTTTTTTTTCCATAATGTTTTTATACAATTTGATCTCAATTTCTCACAATTTATTTATTTGTTTTTAACCCCCTCTCAACTAAGATACTGACTGGTCCACGGTAAGTTGATCACCTTGTATGTATATGTTTATGTATATATATATACCTCAAGTGGATATAATATACCCTGACTGGTTCCTCCGGCTACAGCGCCAGCTACAAAGCGGACGCCGTTGGTCATTTCTTTATCCATGGATACCCACGACTTTTTCAATAAGTCATATACGGTAAACTTGATGGCAAATTCGGGCGAAGTCTTCAGTAAGTTGAGACCATTACCTCGCCAAAACGACCGAACGCCGCCGTCATGATAAATATGATTCATAGCTTTCCGCACACCACCGTTGTCCGTCGTCTGTGCGCAACGAGAATATAAAAATGTGAACAACATTTTAACATCATTTCTACATCGAAGAGATATAATTACAAATATGCTGTGTGTGGATAATAAGAAACGTAACTATACTCTATTCAGAATAAGAACGCACCAGTTGGCGGACAAAAACTTGTCTTAGTTTAACTAGTTGAGAGGTTTATGTTCGCTTAATTAATTTGATTATTTTTAATTTTTCTACAGTGACTAGGAGATACGTTTATAAATAGTTTTTTTTTAAAGTACATACGTATTATCATATTATTCTAGTCTTCACCTGCAAGTAAGTTTTGATGCGATCTAACGGGGCGGTCACGGTTTTGGATATAGCTGCCGCCGAACCGCCAGCAAGGCTATGCATCATCCATGCATTTGTATCGGCTTCATTTGTATCGGCCAAACCCATCCACGACTTGAACAAATACGGTCGTGGGTTACCGATGGTGCCGTTATTCATCGTAAGCGTGTACCACTATTTTTTGTCTTGCATACTTTAAATAAATTACATTGCATATTTAATGATATGTAGATAAGTATTATTATTATACAAATAAATAATATTCACGATAAAAATGTTTTGAGCCAGTAATAATATATTTTAAATTATTAGAATGATTATAGTTTTACATTATTTGCTAGCTGTAACGATTTTTGTAAACTATCACATACCTATTATTTTTTAGTGGTTTTCTTAACAGCTTGGTTTTGAAAATCTTTCTTTAATTCTTACAAAAGATAATTATTTTTTTTATACATTTAAAAATAAACCAAAACTGATTTTTTATACACAACGCGAAATTTGTTTGCGTAGCACATATATTACATATTTTAAACATACTGCTATAGGTGCCTTGTGATTACAATAGAAGGATAAAGGAATATAATGTAATAATAATCTCGGGGTCGTGGGTTTGAGCCCCACGTTTTTAACTTATACGTGGAGCTCGAACCGAGAGAGTGCGAAAGTATTTTGGAAAAAAAAAAGTTTTTCAGCCGAGTCTGCAACCACGAAAGAGCATTTTCATGTCTCGTTGAAGTACCGAATAAATATAGATTAGTTGTGGAATTATAATTTTAAAAAAATATTACATGGAGCTTCCAGTTACAGCATAAGCCAAGGAGATTAAAAAATTATATACAATCATGTTTCTGGCTAAAATTGTAGTGTTTATTATCTGGCCAAAAGTAACTTAACATAGAGAATTAAGCTATTTTGAATTTATTATTTAGTTCTAATTTGAACGTTGAGCGTACAACATATCTCTTATCTCATATCAGTTAACAGCGTAACAGATTAATATTCGAAATAGATCCGAAATGGTCATTCCGATAATTGTATTTCGTCGTCGCTTCGTAGTTATTGTTACATTGCGGCGCGTAACAGCGTAACGCTTTTTTGGTAACACTTTTTTCGGTTATTTACCGGCTAAATCTCACCCTTATCTCCTACCCCCTATTTCACTCCCGTCCCCAACCCTTTCGCTTTTTTCGTTACGCTCTTTTGATAACGCTCTTTTGGTAACGCTTTTTTTGGTTATGTGCCAGAGCTAAGACATGAAAATGTCAAAAAAAACAGGTGGGACTGTACCCCCCCCTCCCTCTAGTTCAGTGACTTAGGTACACCTATGGGTACATTCACACTTTATCCAATGTAATACAGGAAGTAAAACATCAACAATATCGGGAATTATTTAATTATAAATGTTCATGGTAAATATATTTTAAGAACTATCGATTATTATCTAATTAAATTAACTATGTTAATTATTGAAAATCAGTAACAATTTTTAATAATCTATCAATGTATTTACTTAAACATATTGTTGATAATTGCTTAGGAAACATCTGATTTACAACCGAATGAAATCAATAGCAATTTTTTATTTATAGGAATGAATTGCCGCATTTAAATATTTTTTTTTGTAATGAAAATGTGGTGCAATAATCTTATGTAAAAAATATCTTCAACAATAATATATACCTACGGCTTGATTTGAAATTATGTCGTCTTCAGTAATAAGCATTGATCGGTCGATGGAAAGTAGCTCCGAGCTGCATTCGACTATACTTGCCAATCCTCTTAGTGTTACAATATCGACTGTGAACAGTTCTTTGAAAACCGTCGAAGATAACAAATACCTTAACAGACCGGATATGGACATCCAATACGCTATGAGTCTTTTAAAAAAAGATGACGACTACATAGACGTGTATGTAAATTAAAACTAATAATAGATTATGGTACGATTGGAGGGTAGACCAATAGATAATAAATTTCTATTTCTGGTTCAGTGTAGTTTAACCATATTAAAAACAATTTGTCATTTTGACGACACAATTGTCATAGTTAATAGACAGTCTAGTCGCTAATGTCACTCTACTATATTACTAAAACCCTCTGAAAATTCTATAAAAATCGTGATCGGTTCAACAATATACTGTCTATATTAATTATTATTTAATTATTGATTTAAAAATAATATATTGTTGATTTAATAATACTCACTGTGCATCTATCATATTAAATTGTACCTAAACTAATCGATTGATTGGAGTTTTGTTTAAATTAACAATTGTTTCATCAATTAAAAAAATATAAGTCATCGTTCCAACTAAGTAGTTTTGTGAAATTAACAAAACTATTCCTATTTTAACAAATACTGTATTAATATTAATACAAATCAATAATCATTTGTATTTTTCTTAGTGTACATCACATATAATTTAGTACACGAATTTGTGGGGAATAAGAAACTTATGAGTGATCAACTAATTACTATGAGACTTTACTATGATTTGCAATGCATCTTTCAGAGTTCTTTAAAATTAACAAAGTTGTAAAACAAAAATACTGTTATGAGATTACTATAAAATCTCTAGAAATAATTTAAACATGTTTGTAGCCTAGGGTCAGTCCATGTAAATCATCACCCACGCTATAACAACACCATGGATACAATAATCCATAACTCACAGATAGAGATAGGGATTAGGTGTGAAGGAGAAGGAAATGAGGTCTTACATTTAAATTATAAAATTAAATCAAATAAAAAAAATCCTGCGCATCTTGATTGATAATTGGAACTGCTTAAAACATATTCATGATTTCATGTTTTAAGATTTAGCTAAAAATAAGTTGATGACTACAGATGTTTACCAAGGAAAACTCAAAAATTCAAATTACACGTTTTTTTGTATACTTTTTTTTTTTTTTTATTATTATTTCCCTCGGTGGCAAAAGCCATTGGGTTACATTGTGCAGAAACAGTACACCCTCATAGACAACTGCATAATTTGGTCTGGGATATAAAACTAACAAGCCTGTTAATGGCCCCGAGTTGAGGTCCGAGGGTTTCTGACAGATCATCCGATATTTCGTTATCAGTTCGTTGAGTCTGATATTTTGTGCACTCCGTAAGTATGTGTTTCACCGTTAGCCGAACCCCACATGCTTCGCAGATAGGGGATTCAGACTTTGACATTAATAAGTCGTGCATCAATCGAGTGTGTCCAATTCTCGTTCTGGTAATGAGGACTTGATTCTTTCTAGATAAGTTGGTCGGTTGGGTCCATTTGTAAGTGTGATTTTTGATTTCATTGAGTTTTGTATGTAAGGACCTCCATTGCAGAATCCATTCTTGATAATATGTCGATTTGATATGCAATTTTAGGTCGCTGTGAGGAAGAATGTTGAGAGTTCCCGCCGATTGTGATGATATTGCTTCTTTTGCTGCAATATCAGCTATTTCATTGCCAGCTATGTTACAGTGACTTGGGATCCACATGATTTGAATTAAAAACCCTTGTTTTTGGAGTTTGTACATTAGGTTAGGAATCAAAGTGGTTATGTCGGAAGGATTATAAACGTTGTTCAGGTTTTTTATGACACTGAGAGAGTCACTAAAGATGGTGGATTTCCTTATGTTATTTTCTTTAATGATTTGTATTGCTTGTAATATTGCAATAGCTTCTGCCGTGTAAATAGATGTGAAGTTAGCTAGTCTAAAAAGATGTTTTCTTTCGTTCCAAATGACCGAAATACCGACACCATTTTCGTTTTTGGATGCGTCCGTATAAATTTTTTCTGATTCATCTAGGTGACATGTTTGTAGTAAAAGATGACTGTACATTTTTGGATCTGTACACTTTTTTTTGTAAGTTGTTAAATCTGTATTAATGTTTAAATCTGATTTCCATGGAGGGATATCGGTAGTTTCAGGTTTGATAATGTGTGCAAAAGGGATGCTTTCATTATGTGTACTTTTACAGAGCAAGATTATTTGTTGATGATTATCTAGCAAAGAGGGCGTTCTTGCTAGTCTGCTTGCTAATAATAATGATGACATCTTCCTATGTATTGTTAATGTTGGAATGTTACCTAAGTTGTGGATACTTGCTACTGGGCTAGAACGAAAAGCACCAATTGCTATTCGTATGCCGGTGTTGTGGATTGAGTCAATTTTTTTAAGAATTGACTGTGCTGCGTTAGACCAGAGAAATGACCCATAATCAAGTTTGGAAAGTATCAAGGATTTGTATATCTTAAATAGGGTTACAGTGTTTGCTCCCCATGAAGTGTGAGAAAGTATTTTCATTATATTTAGTCGTGACAGTGTAGCTTCTAAGATAATTTATATGTGAGGCCCAAGATGTTTTTTGGTCAAAAAATACCCCAAAGATCTTGACGACTTTATAGTTGACTATTTGCTGGCCATCGAGTTTGACATTTAGTTCAGATGGTTTTCTATTTTTTTTTTTTAATGATTGCTTGTGATTTAGACGGAGAAAAAGAAAAACCGTAGGTTTTCGTCCATTCTGTGAGATGGTTGAGCGCTTCTTGGAGGTGATATTGGATTGTTGATACTTTTTTGCTTCGACAAAAAATGTTGAAGTCGTCGGCATACAGGGTGGAATGAACAGGTGGCAGAATAGTATCGACTATGTTATTTATAGCTATTAAAAATAAGGTGACAGATAGGACGGAACCTTGGGGTACTCCGTTTACTTGGATAAGCTTATCAGATAGGATGTTACCAATACGTACTTGGAATGTTCTTGTTTTAAGGAAGTTACATATGTAATTCATTAAATTACCAGAGCTTAATAAGTGATTTAGTTTATGGATGATATGTGGGCGCCATGTGCTATCGTATGCCTTGGATATATCTAGACATATCATGCCTACTGATTGCTTTCCTTCGAAGGCACTTTGTATTTCGGCGTGGATTTTGGAAAGGCAATGGTGTGTGCTTCTATATTTTCTAAAACCATATTGATGTGCTGTGAGGTAGTTTATTTTGTTAAAGTACCATGTTAGTCTATTATTAATTATTTTTTCAAGTATCTTTCCCATAGTATTTAGGAGGGATATTGGACGGTAACCTTCCGGCTTAAATTTATCTTTATACGGTTTGCTTAGGGGGATGATTATGCTGTGGCGCCATGCGCTGAGAAATGAATTGCTTTTCCAAATGTAATTAAAGATTTCTAATAGGTATTGTGTAGCGTTAGAGGGGAAGTTGCGTATAAATATGAAGGGGATATCATCTGGTCCTGGGCTTTTGCTCTTGCAATTTTTTAGGGCATTGTAGTATTCGTTCAGGGTAATAGGACTGTTTAGATAAGTTTGATATTCTACGTTAATGTTTATGGCTGAAACAGGTGGGGATGCGTCTATTGTTTCGTTGTTTTTTTAGAAATTCTGGATTGTAGTTGTTGTTACTAGTGTTTTCTTCAAAGTATTTGGCTAATTCGTTTGCAATAATTGTTGGATCGGTAGTTAAATTAGTGTCGTCAGAAAGGAATATATTTGTGTTTATTTGTTTTCCTTGAAGAGAGCGTATTTTATTCCACATAAAATGGCTAACGATTTCTGAATCTAGGTTGGAGGTGAAATTAGACCAGCTATCGGCTTTACTTCTTTTAACTAGGAACCTTGTTTTAGCTCTAAGTTTTTTTAATTGTATGTAGTCTGTAGTTGTTTTAGAGTTTTGGAATTGTTTGAGTGCTCTGTTTTTATCTTTAATACATTTTTTAATCTCTTGGTTCCACCAAGGGACTTTTTGTTTGTGGGATGAAATGGCTGTTCTTCCTATAGTACGTTCAGCGGTCTGTATGATTATATCACTAAACTTAGAAACAATTACATTTATGTCACTCAAATTTAGAAAGTGTTTTTTGTATACTTAAGACAGCACAAAAAGAAATTTTAGAGACTAAGAAGGGAACTTTTTTCTTGCGATAAACAATTATATTATTAATTTTTTATGATTGAATTTGTATTCATTTAATTTATTTATTTCGTTTATATTAATATATTTTATTTTATTAATTTATTTATTAATGGTACTAATACATTTTTAATTATTTATTTAATCATTTTTGAGCAGATAGTCAAAACATAGCATGCGTTGTTCACTGGATGTTATAAATTTATGTACTTTGGCATATTTAGCGAAAAAATTAGAACCGTTTTTTAATGTGTTTATTTTTATCCAGTTTGATTTATTGATACCAGTAGTCCATTTATTATTAGTTAATTATTTAGTGAATCTGTTTTATTTTTAAATGTCACTTTATTGTTCGTATTACCATTATAAAAAACCGTTTGGCGTATATTATTAAAAATAAAAATTATACATCCAAGTGGCTGTTATTATTGTTGATAGTTTGTAAATGGGTGAAATAGGTTCACTATCTACTTGAAGACTTTAAACAACTTTACTTAACTTGACTAAAGCATTATTTCATTTTTTTTTTTGCTATAGTCATTATTTATATTATGTGACTAAAAAAAGGCAGTTGATTTTACTTAATGGGTAAAAAAGATAAGATTATTTCAAATGTCCTCTTGGCCTAATTACAGACTTGGTCCCAAGATTCAAATTCTGAACATGCCACTGAGATTGAAAAAATTGTATTTTTTATAAAACTGATTAGTTTAAAAATGTTATATTTTAATTTAGGTATAGTCATTTAGAAGCAGTTTTGAACAAAATGTTATCCGAGAGGCCTTCTAATCCTGTCGAAAATTTTGAGCTCTACAGCAACATATTAAAGCTCGCGTACCCAACGGTCAATACTAGATTTGAAAGTGTTTTCGTGGATAATATTAACATAATGGGATGTCTGAGAAATTTGGAACTATACAAAGTACAGTGAAAGCGTACCCAAACATTAGTAATTATCTAAATCCAACATTAAATATTATCAATCTTAAACGAAACCTAACGGCCGTTAAAACTGTTCTTTAGTGATACCGATGTAGCAGTCACGTATACCCAAAATACACTGATAAGTGGTATCTCGTTGAAGTAGAATGAGACGAACCCATATAATTTACCTAACTTTATAATATACAGTGAATTCATTATGTAGTGATACAATATTTATGTAAGAGTGAATTAAAAACGGGAAATTTTTTTTTAGGTTACTTACTTATTTTAAATAAGCATTAAGTTTAGCCCATTTCTGGCCAATGGTGCGTAAGCGTACCATAAAATAAATACATCCTTGGCCGGAAATGGGTTAAAAAGAAATATGTTAACTGTAGACTGATCAAAAAAACTTGTGAGTTTACTTCTTTTATCTTAACAGCAACGAAACAGGCTATTTATTAGAGAGCAATAGATAACCAATAAACAAATCGTCCTTTTAGCCCCTACAGAAGATATGTTTAACGTTCTTCTTTGAAACGTTACCTTGGAAAGTGACTGCGTTTTATTTTTTTTTTATATATAAGATAGCTATTTCCGTTGCCTTTAAAACTCATCTCAAAAATTAAAAAAAGTACAATTTTAATATGAGAAATTTATTTTAAGGCATCCCAAGTAATTGTAATTTTTAATCTTATTGCTCAGAATAAAAATATATTAAAGTACTCGTGCTATGATCAATTTTTCACCTATCTAAAATTGTATTGGGTAAAAATAGTTTAATATTATAGCCGGACTATCACGTAAACATCAACCGTCCTATGATAATTTTGATTAGGTTTATTGGTTTTAGTATATGTAATAATAGTTAATTAAATTTAAATATATATATATTAATATGATATAGTAAATATTTTGCTTAGAATAAAGAAAAAAACCTTTTTAAAATTTGTTTTCTATCATACAATAAAGATGAATAATTGATCATTTCAAAAGAACGGTAGAGCAAAACTTTTCAAAAAAGAAAATGCTTGATCAGTTTTAGACCACTCTAATAAAGATAATTTTTTTGTATTCTTTTAATAAAAAGTATTTTTAAAATAAAACTATTTTGTTTGAATAACTGTTATTTTAGAAAAAACCTTAACCACAAAAAATAATTCACTCTAGTGTATAAGTGTTTTTCAGCAGCAATGTTACCATCATCAGCGCTAGAGTGTATTATTTTTTGCGGTTAAGGGTTTTTCGGTTATTTCAAACATGTTTTTATAATAATTTTATTTCTTTAACTTTTATTTTAATCACAGTGTGCGTTAAACAGTCAATTAGAAAAACAAAAGCGGCACGAACGCCAAAAAACCAACAAAGAAGTAAAGTTTTCAAAGTATAAAAAAACAACTGCTAACGAATCCGTCACCGACGAGTTTAATGGTTTTAAACAAAACCTACGGGAAGCAAATTTCCTATTTAACAAAGCAGGATGTGGACTGTCTGAGAACGAGGTGTCTATAATATCCACGTCCATGAATCACATGGCCGAACTGAACAAATTCAAAAGTCTAAGGTGACGTTTTAAGATGTAAATGTTATAAGGATAAAAACAATTGTTAAAACCAATTTACCCTACTGCAGTAATCATATTCTCATATTAATTTTTCAGATATTGGGGTAAAATATTTGGTGTGAAAAAAAATTACTACATTATTGAATGCGAGTGGTCAGAGTCCGAACTACACAACAGGTTATCCGTGGTGAGCACAATAATATTCTTTAGCATACAGAATAACTATACTGTTTTACTAACAATAAAATAAAGTGTTTTATTACACTTAAAAATGTCTCGGCAAAAATCGTTTATCTTTTTTCTCTCAATGTTCGTTATCGACCAGTACATAACATTTTAATATATACTTGGGGTCCTTTAAACCTTAATACTTCAAATTAGTGCTACATTTGTTTTTATTTTAATAAATCTCTCACTAAAAAATAAATGTAGATATTTTGAAACCCACTATTTTTAAATTTTAAGGTTTTCAATATCCAAAGCCGCCCCCCCCCCCCCTCTGATTGCCACCAATGCCTAAAATTGTTTCGTGCTCCAGGTTTTTTGATAAAGACATTGAATCATGGATATGTTTTTAGGTTTGATAAATACCCCTCTCCTCCCTTTTAATTTCTACTTCTCCAACTATTTTCCAATATATTTATTTAAAAGTAAAATAACATTTCGATAGGCGACTACCGGGCGATAGGTTTTAGTGGTGGTAAAGATAGGTCACCGTAAATGATTAGTAAAACGTTCTGTTCGGTTCGTAGAAATTTATTTATGTCTTGTAATATATTTTTTACAAGGCGGAAAATGTTATAAGTAGCAAATCAATAGAGCCCAAATCAAACAGCTTTGATTCTGAAAAACAACCGATGAGTTTATCTCAGTTGAAAGATGCACCTAGAAGTAAACAAGACTTTAGCATCGAGTACATTGGAGGCGATGCTTCCAGCAAAGTGACTGAAGTTTTATATCAAAATGCAAAAGAGAATAGCACCCAGTTTTCTTTTAGTTCTTTTGTAATGCCAATCGAATCGGAGCTGGTATCCAAAGTCGGCGCTAAAAATATGATACCACCAGAAATACAAGGATTCGGCGCCAATAAATCCGTAATGACATAAAGTAATTCCTACTCGAATTTATCAACCGAAATAACGAGTAGTGTTATTGTGCCAGGTATACTTTGTGACGAACGAGCTAAACGGGGAATGGATTGAGTTACCGCCGGTCAAACCAAACCATGTAATCGAAGCTCGAAGAATAAAATATTTTCTATCTGGAAATTTAAATGCAGTAGTACGTAAAATTAAAAACAACTATATTTATAATAACTAATCCACACCAATGAGGACAAATCACAGTGTGGTAAAAGTAAAAACGGTTATTGATTTGTAGGATTTTTTTTGTGGAAAAGTGTATAAACCATTTAAAGGCTCTTCGGTTCCAATTTTCGGATGATAAAAAATTATTGAAAGTTGGTTAAAACAAAGATAACAATAATGTATTTATCATAAATCATGAATATTGAATAAGAAAGTTGAAAAAAGTGTAGATACCTGACATCAGAATCTTAAAGGGGAGGGAGGGAGCAAAAGTGACTAAGTTGAATGAATTATGAAAGAGTATGGAAGGCTTAACTATGGAGTTGTGTTAAAATATATACAAATAATAGAGAACAGATTTAAAAGGATCAATATAAGAAAAAAATAGACCATTAAAATGGGTGAGATAGTTTAGAACTGTAGAGGAATTTAAAAATAAAGCTGGCAATAAGTGTGTAGACTAATCTATTAACTGTATAAATGCAGAAACCAGCAAAGTGGTTTTTATAAATTAATAGTGGACCTCGATAAAAATAGGTAAATCACTAATCTAATCTAATACTCTAAATATTCTATTATAATCACTATAGTATAATGCCATTCCTTGCTGTTAATGTAGTACATTTTCAGGACAGCGTCAAAGCTAAAAATAAAAAAGAACACCATATTTGTGTATCCTTTTAAAGCGTTTGCCACTTATTCTGTTGTAGATAAACACCTATCCTAAGTTTAATGGCTTGGAAATCCACTATTTGCGAGCGCAAATTGCTCGAATTTCGTCAAGCACTCATATATGTCCTCAAGACTTTTGCGAAATCAGTTCAGTTGAAGGAAATCAACTCATAACTCCTTATTCACTTCTCAAGTCTTTGCCCCAGTTAGCCAAAAGAAGTAAAAACCCTGTAATTTATTAAATAAATTGTTTACCTATACCTATACCTATTCTCACAAATGTATCGATTAGATATCTACTCTTAGATAAACATTAAATAGATATTTAACATTAACACGGTAGTTATAATAGCATAATTTATATAGGGGTTATTTTCATACATTAAACATTTTTTTTATCAGTTAATATCATTTCTAATCTTACAGCTACTGTCTACCGAACCGATTTTAATTGTTTTTATAATTTTGGTTATAAAGTTTAACATCTCTTTGTTTTAAATTACATTATTATGTTTACACTTTTATAGATTTCCTAATAAATCTATCTAATTTATTAAATTATAAAATTAAAAATTGGGTTTCACAATCTTACGGAAAGTTGTAAGCTTTGTTTAAAAAAATAGAAATCCGTCTAATAGATACGCAAGAAAGTGACTTGACATAACACAAATATAGAAAAAAACACACTTTAAAAGTTTTATAATTAGAAAAACTTGTTATTTATATACCCTTAAATTAGCTAGCATATTTAAAACGGCTCCTAGATCATTTTATGTCAAATATTACCCATTAATGAATAGCCATTTTCCTCTTTGTTAACAGAAAACACACTGTCCAGATTAATATTCACGATATTCATAATATTCTCATTTATCCGGTTGAAATATGTTTTAAAAATTATAGATTAATTTATTTTTGATATTATTATATTTAAATTGTGTAAGTATATATTGCGTGAATAACTTAATAGTATGCCGGGTTGGACAAAATGATAATAGCTAATTCCTATTTAAAGGACCAATTTAAGAAACCAATAAATATCTACATATTTTTAATGCACAACCTGACATTTCAAATACTTAACTATGCCTTACAGCTGTTTAATCGACTATACACCTATTATCTAAGTGCATACTCGAGTTTTTTTTATAACGAAAGAATTTGTTTTTTTCAAATAGTCGTTTTTAACTGTGTGCCGAACATTGACTTTAAGCCGGCAGCGAATTCGAAACTAATGCGACCACACTATTGGGTGCACGTCAAGTCCAACATAGGAAGCAAAGGAGTCACAAGACAATGGGCTTACCTGATGGCGACCAAATCGTTTTTGGGCGAAGGCGATTCCAAGGGCGTGTCTGGCATGTCAGAGAGCGAGGACTCGTACAGCGACTACGACGGTGAAGCTTTGGATACCAAGGCAGACTTGTTGATAAACTTGGCGAAAGACAGTACTGTCGGCATGACGGACGCTTGGAAGGGCGAACAATGCTCGAAGTTCTTGCCACGCGATTCTTGTGTAGCGATGAAGTCCAACATATGGCCAGGAGCGTTAGCCGTTTCCCGTAAATCGTAAGGGAATCTTTTTTGCTTTTTAAATACTAAAATAATCTATTTATTTCTTAAATTCCTTCCAATTTAATACAAATATGATCAATTATTCATTAGTTAATAAAGAAAGAGGTAACTTTATAACAATTATCTAGTGGTAAAATGATAGGTACTAGGAAAACTTAAAAATTGTTTTCTTATTTTTCTTAAGCATTCATTGATTAAGATTAAGATCTTTGTAACACCTACACGTGTTCCGTTTATCTCTGTCATTGCTCTATCGTATTCTTGCTTGTAGCGCACATTTATTGAGAGCATCTATAATTTTATCTGTTCCTCGCTGTATCGTTGCTTCTTGCCAAGGCACGATCTTAGTGATACTACTTGACCTTTAGACATGGGCCATGGTCCGCCCATCCGAGAATTTTATTAGATTAGATTTTTAATAAATTTGTTGCAGCTCATTGTTTTTTGTTGTCCTGCACACTCCATATTCGAATTAATGGGTCACATGGCCGTCTAACTTTTGATGTAAAAATTTGTTTTGTCGATAAACACATTTTCAACTACCGTCTTTTTTTTAGTTAAAAACTAAATGATACTCATTACTTATTCCATATTATAATTTATAAGTTATTAACATATAAGAAAAAAATAATGTTGTATATTTCCAGACAATCGGAATTCTTGTACGTCGGATGGGCACAGAAATACGATTTTATAGGGTTCAGTCCGTTGTTGGAAGAATTTGATGAGGAACACTTCGCCGGGAGACATATAGCAGAGGGCAATGACCCCACACACAAACAAGAAAATGAATACAACATGCATGTACAACAATTAGAACAGAAGATTAACGTATTCGAGCAATTGTCTGGCGAAGTTTATGAAGGAGACGAAAGAATACTTAACAACTATACCTATGATTGAATAAACACGTTATACACGTCATAAATGCAATTATTTTGATGTTTTAAGATTTGTTTATTTATTTTATTTATATAGAGATAGAGTTCTAGTCATGTTAACCTGTAAGTATGCGTAATTTATAATCGTACAGATAGCTATTGTTTATGTTTATGAACTTAAAACCGCTAAACAGCAGCAATGTTACTTCTGAAGAGTGGAAAAGTAAAAAATGATTTTAAAAATCAACACGATAGAAGAAAACAGTATAGCGAAAAACCAGCACGGCCAAAGTCAACTAGTAAAACTATCATTATAGATAGTAAGAAATTATTCAAAATTATCAAATCACTTGTCAAACGCTTCGATACTATTACATAATGTCAAGTCGTTATTTAGTACTTACAACGAAGCGTTTATTACCACCACAGGCGGATAGGCCACCGAGATAACGGTAAAATATTTATATACCTACGGTGATTTATAAAGGATAAAATGCACTTTTTTGGAGACACTTTAGTTTGTGTTATTTTAAAAATTAATGATAACCTGAAGTTAAATATTTAGGATGGGAAATAGAGTGCAGTAGAGCTATGCGTGCATATTACTACACTCCACCCCACCACCCGTCATCAATTTTAAACTTAATAACTTTAAAATGAATTATCCAAAACTGTTTATCGACCAATCAAAATGTTTAGCAAATTATTATTAAATGGTTGATAAAATATCTGTGTTACTATTCAAGTGTTAAACGTTTATCGAGCTCTGGAAAATACTAAAGAGGTAAATATTTAGTAATTTGTAAGTAAAATATAAAGGTAAAAAAACTACTAATATATGTAATTTTATTACTTAAAGTATTATTCATAAAAATGTATGTTAATATAGGTTATAATTATAGGATTTATACTTTTTATATTTATTTTAACTTATAATTATATTTCCTAAGGTTCGACAAAAAAAAAAGTATTTCAGTCGTTCCGTGTACTCATAAGTTTGGATCCTTTTTGTATATTTTTCCGGTGATACAAATTTAGCCTATCCAGCTCTGTCTATCATGTGGTTGTAAAATTACGTTTAAGCTCAGCATAGTGAGATTAACATCCACGTAGTTTGTAAGGTAGTATAAATACTGATTCAAAAACTATAATTTCGATGCGAATTTACGAATACTGTAAAATTGTATCAAAGCGTTTGACGAGGGTTCAAAAGGACTATAGTATCTTGCCTGCACTTTGTTAATTTCCTACTGTGTTAATTTTTTACTGTACTTTGTAGTTCTAACTTTTATACTTCAAGGTTTATATGATGTGATGAGAAAACATCACTCAACCGGGTGTATTCATATATATGTAGCCTACAAAAGAAAGGATAAATTCCTCCTCACACAGAAGTCAAATATTCATTTTAGGTACTAATTTGCTAATAATGCTGTATATTTTACTTTTATACTTTTAAGAACCAAAGTACATAACTATTATTGGCTGTATCAGAATTTTTCTACCATATCTATATGTTTGAAAAAAAAACAATATTATAAACAATAAAAAATATTGTATATTTTACAAGAGCCATTGCATGTTATTAAAATAGGTTTAAATAAAAATAAATAATAAAATAATTGTATTATCATCGTGCATGTTAAAATTTTACTTATAGTGCATTTTTGTTTAAAAAATAATATGTTGTATGTAAAAGCAATGTGGATGTTTACAACAAAATGACAGACTGTAGTAAGATTATAATAACTAACTAATTAGAATAGATAAATAAGAGCAAATACAAGGGCAAAAATAGATAAAATCATTTAAAAAATATTATCACATGCATGTGTATAATGTACACACATTACACGCGTTGCCAATAAAAAAATATATATAATATATTCCTCTTCATCTCACAAATTGTACTATAAATATAATTTGTACTATAATATAGCATAATTATTATCATTATCATATTTTGTACAAGCGAAAAACATTTAACAACAAATTGGTAATATTTATTAATGAATACACATGGTCCGAGTTGAAGACAGTACAACTTTACTAATAATAACGGCGTAATAAAAGTTAAAAACTAAGAAAACTATAAATTATATTATAAGTTATAAATATAATACATTTATATCAAAAATTAGGTGAGTGTCAAATTCTATGTTCATTGGTGGTGTCACTTGGTCCGATTACAGTAGTACACTTTGGCATGTCATTCTTCTTAGCAGCTAAAACAATATTAGTAGGTTTCCTATATAATTTGAGCGGACGTTGAAATCCCTTTGATGGATTATAAGGCATTGTGAGCGTCTCACAATGAGAAAAACCCACATCGGTCAACAAGTATTCAGTAAACATCGGAGGTCTCAGCTCTATAGTCTTATAGTTTCGCCAAATTGTTTCCTAAAACACATATATTTATAAATTGACAATATTTTTTGATAATCTGTAATGTTAAGTGTGACTTACTGTCAGGGTTTTCTTGCGACCATATGACTTCCATGACTGAGGTTCTAAGACTAGTATGCCGCCAGGCCTGAGTTGTGCAAACATACGTTTAAAAGCCCGTTTTAGACCGTCATCTCCCCAATTCAAATGGATCCATTTGGTTATGCTCAGGCAAAGGATGACGTCAAACTGACACGTTTCCATCGCCAACATGACATCAGACTCAAGTACATAGTTTCCCTAGAACGATATATTAAGTGATTAATTTGAGTAGAACTTCTTATTTCACGTGTACACGAAAATACTTTTATCTGAGAATGGTTGGAACTAAACGAACCCATCGTACACATACAAATACACAAATTCACTAAACTGAACAAAAACTCTAGTTTGCAGTATATGAGGTACGTTTGTTTGCATAATTACAATTAAATTTTATGTTGTTCCTTACCTGTATGAATGATACGTTAAATGGAAACTTTCCGGAACTCTGCGTTCCAGGTAAATTTATGGGACCATACAATATTGGCATGGACATAGGAAATGACTGTATTATGTCATTTATCCGATTTTTGTCTGACGTATTACTGTAATTTGACGCCAACCGCATTGAATGATTTGAAGTATTACTGATGTAATGTTGAACATTTTTGCGTGCAATATTTATTAGTTTACGATCAATGTCCATTCCGACCACTGATCGAGCACCAAAATCTCTGGCCACACTGAACGTTACATGACCGATATTGCAGCCAATATCCAACACATCCTTGCCATAAAACAAGTCCATTCTTGCTGCCAATACTTTTAGTCGATTGTCTCCGTCTTCTGTATTACGATAACCATAATATCTAAAAAGAAAAAAATTCAGCATAAAAAATTAATTTAATAAGAATACAAGCAATATTTTGTGTTATCATTAATAGTGAAAGTGAATAAAAGTTGTTTTAGTAGGTAACAACAAACTTTTTCACGTGTTTCCAATAACCCCTGAGCTAGTGATTAGCACATAGCCAATATCAATAAAAAATTATAAGAACTAGGTATGGGAAATAATGCATTGAAAACTACTAACTTAAATATAGTAATTCCGCCCATTTCTAATGAGTAAAAGATAAGCAATTTTTCGCAAAATATTAATTTCGATTTTCAACTATAGTGTAACTCTACTTATTAATATAGTAAAGAGGATACTTTTATAACTACCATTAAGGTTTTGTAATAATTTTTATAAATAATTGTAGGCTATTAGGTTAAATTACTTTAAGTACGAGCCATTTATGTTTATAGGTAATTTCATTAAAGAAAAAAAATTAAAGATATTCAATAGAATTTTAGTTGTATTAATTTAAAAATAAATATATATACTGCATTACAACTGAAAAATTACTAATAACAAATAATTAAATTACATTATTTAAAAAAAATGATTACATTTTTATTTTGTTACTGTAAAGAGCTGTATTTGTATTTTACTTCTCAAGACTGCTAGAAATGTACATGACTATAATTTCTTATTAAGACTTACCCAATATTAAAGCCTTTAAGACCCCCCAAAAAAAAAAAAAATTTTAAAAATTGTGAAACAAATCATAATAATCTTAGAATGCAACGTGAAACCAATAATTAAAACAACATGCAGTTATATGCTTTAAAATGTTGTCTTAAGTTATAATTAAAACAAATGTATTCTTTTTAAAAATAAGTAGATTGATTATATTTTACACATTTTTTATATGAATAGATAAATGAAAATTCTTAGGCCGGTCCATAAATCTTCAATCGCTATACTTTACGAGTCGTGTAGGAGATATTTAATCGTAAATTATGACAATTATTTTTACTCAGCGTTTCCCGATGGTTGTTGGTAAATGTGACAGTCAAAGGGATAAAGAATGTTCTTATTACCTATTGCTTAGATTCTCACAAAACTCGGAGTTCATCGTCTACAACAGTCTATATTCGCCACACGAAAGACGATAATTCTGCGAGCGTTCGCGATGACAATGATCGTCAGCAATAATTTGTTTTTAAAGTTTAAATAAGTAAGTCGAGTCATTCTATAATTTTAATAGTTGCACCATGATGAAAATGGTGTATAAACAGACATTCTGATTGTGGACATTTCTTTTTTCTAACTACGTTAACACATGGTATTTTAAGATAAATATACATAATACACTTGACAAATGTATAGGCGGTTCTTACCTGTTGTAATTTCCATATTTAAATGCAGCGTTTTTTTCTTTAAATTTGGGCTCATTCTTATTAACCTTATTTTTCGGTTTAGTTGATGGTTTGGTGGATAACGGCGTCTTGATGGCAGACTTATCCGATGAAGAAGCCTGCACAGCGACAGGACTTGCTACACTGCTCTGGGGGTCAATTTTTTCGAGCTGCTTTTGAGTTTCTTTATCATCTTTAACACTTTTAACAGGTAAAGGTGATAGGCTCTGGTTAGGTTCTGGTATAGTTACCTCCTCTTGAACCTCTTGAACAATGATTTTTGGAACAGCTAAATTACTAATTTTTTTTTGGCAGATCGGTTGTGTACTGCAACTATTATCTTCAGTCTCCTCTTTTTGCACTTTTTGAATGATTTCTTCAATAATGTTTTCCACTACTGAGGGTGCAACTACATTATTATTCTCAGGCTTGCATAATGGCCAGTTTCCTGAAGTGTCTGTTTTTGGTATTTTAATCAGAGGATAAATAATATCTTCACCTGAACCATCACACTCATCTGGTTCATCACTAAAAAAATGGTTAATTTAATTAATTTAAGTTTCAATTGTAATTTAATACTGTAACATTTATCATACATAAACATATACTATTAAAAAATAATAGAAAATATTCATTTAATGTGCTGTTAATTGTTATTGAACATTTGTGTGATATAAAAATAAATATTTATATATATATATATAAGTGAGAATATGCTAACTAAGAAATTGCATAATGTTTTTTTATTTATGACTTATATATACAATAGTAAACAATCTATAAATAGTACATTAAATTGAATATATGAAATAAATTATGTTTTATTACTCACTCGGGTACTGGAGTATTTTCGATTAACAAACTACAATCAGATAACAATTTTGTTGTTTGTTTCTTGGTCTTGCGCTTTTGAGGAGTCCGTCTTTTCAGTGTTAGTAAATTATCAAAACAGTTGACTTGCTTAGCTTCAACACATGTACTCAGTTCAAGAGGATCAGCCAGGTTACGCGGAATCAAAACATCTACTTGGTCTTTTTTAATGTTGACTTTGTTCGAATGCAAAGGTGATGATTTTGGAGTCTTATTCATTGCTCTAAATTTATATATAAAATGACGTTAATATTTTTGAGCCGTAAAATTATTAATTATAAACTTATGTTATACCTGTTGACATCTTCATCTTGTAGGCTATTTAAATTAAGTGGATCTGAAATGTTACCACCAAGTAAAAATTTATTAGGTGGTTTTATATTATGAGCTTCTTTTTTCTTTTTTTTTGGAGACAAATTTATTAAATTTGATGTGCTAACACATCTCTTTCGAGTTGGTTGAATTTTTAATTGGTCATCAGAAAACTGAAGGTTTTTACATACTGCCTTCAAATCACAATTTTCACTCGGAGGAAAATCCTCAGACTCATTTTCAGCCTCAGCTTTGGTCGCCATAATTAACCTGTAAAACAGAAATAATTTAATGTTCATTGTTTTTAATCTAGTTTTAAAACACACATGATTCTTTTGAAATGTTAAAAACGGACATTTAAATTATTTACCATAAATAAAGTATTACTAATATAACATTTACTTGGTATTAATTTAAAAATTTCTAACTAAACAACAAATTTTGAACTAATATTGGCAAAATATTAGTTTTAACTGAGAAGCAGTTTTAAAAATTATCAGTTCTCACTTATGAATTAATTACCAAAGAAATAGTGGATAGTAATAATATTTAATATAATTCTTTAACATTATGTTGACATTAGTTAGTTTTTTTAATATTATAATTAAAAATTGTATTGGTACCTATATCTAAGAACATATGACACTAAAAATAGTGATGAAAAATTAAAAACATATTTCCTAACCTACTTCAATGTGGTCAATAAACATAATTTGTCGGGGGAATAACAAAAAAGTAAAACCCACGATGATCTTTCGATCAATGTTATATTTTGTCATCAAATTTAAAATTAAGTTTCAATTTAAATATTTGTTTAAGTCGATTGCCTTCTAATTGAACATCCATCTGCTCCAACAGTTTAGCATACAATGTTCAACTGAAGTGCATAATGACACAAGTTAAAAAGAAACTGGCAAGCAATTTGGTCGCCAACAGATCGAGTATTTATACTTGGAATAATAATTATAAACATGTGAATAAACTCGAAAACCATGGTAAGTTTGAAATAAAATAAATTATTTTAAATACGTTTACGACTATAATATCAAATCGATATGAAATAATAAAATAATTTAATAATAATTTCGCAATAATTTTACTGCATCACAATTAGACGAGTTCTTTAGCTGGCCGCATAAAGCAGGCGAATCGTTAATCAGAATTATTAATATTAGTACCTATGCAATTAAGAAGCTACATAAATTAAAACGCAACTGTTCTTTACCATAGAGCAAGCCTATAGGTTTCAACTAAAACCGTTCTGTCAAATCATGTTAATAATGTTTTTACTACTTATACTGTTGACAAACATTGTCATTTTGTTTTTTAATTTGATAACTCTATTATAATTATTATAAGTGATCTTACAAAGCCGGTCCCTTACCGACAGTCTATACAAACAAAAAACAATTTACAACCTCGGGTGTATACAGGTAAAAAATATAGTACTAAGCATTAGTGAAACCTGGAGTGCGAGAGTGAATAGAAGTGAGAACTTCCTTTTATTTACTAATGTAAAGTAGCTTCTACAACTGAAAAATACTAATGATTAGTACTAAACATCGCGTACCGGGCATTAGCAGGAATGAAAAACAAATTAAAATGTTTTACACTTAAAAAACAAGATCTACAAAAAGAATACTAACAGACAACAGGCAATGTATCTGAATAAGTATACCCATCAATAATGCTTTACGTCATGACGGATCTTTCCTTTAACGACTGGTCGTATCTAGTGACGGTTTAAATTATACGACATTTGATGGCTTAAGAGGCTTAGGCTTTTCTTAAACGCTTCTTATCGTTGTCAGCTTTAATACAAACAAACACGACTAATACATAACCCGGTTTAAAATGGTAAAAAGAAAAAAGAAAATAAAAAGATAAAATCAGTTCGGGAAGGTGGACATGTTTTCAAACCATAACCATAAATAAATCAACAAGGACAGTTTTAAAGCTTTCAGAAGATAAGAACTAACAACAAAAACTAAAAATACAGTATTCCAATATACTTTTTCTATTTTTTTTATGGAAATATATTAAGAATGATATTTTATTCATAGGTTTATCTCTTAACGATTCAGGATACAAAGCTTTGATTAAATTGAAACATGTCTAAACAAACGGCATTTATTTAATCCGTTGTTAAATAAAACAACAGTAATAAAAAATGTTCTTAAGTAGGGTACATTTAAGATGGCCAAGTGATAAAAACAGTCGTAGTATTAGTCGATGACCGAAGTCAACGAAATAGCGAAATAATCAAATACAGTAGTAAATAAAGTAATAGAGAAAAATAATTTACTTAAAATATAATATTGTATAATTCAAAGATTTTAAATACGAAACACAGGAAAAAATCGTAAAAGACGTACGTACAGTTTTAATCGCAAAAGTATTACTAAAATATAAGACAATAATAATTGTAGAATACCTACAATGACGTATGCTTAAGGGTGAAAAATATCAGCTTTTGCAACTCATAATACAAGGAAAGATTTGCGGAAAGAGGAGCAGGGGAAGACCTAGAACGAGCTGGCTGCAAAATCTAAGAGAGTGGTTCCATTACAACACTAAGGAACTATTCAGTGCAGCCAAGGACAAAAAACATATAGCCATGATGATTTCCAACCTTCGATAGAAGAAGAACATGAGGAAGATCTACAAAGAACATTGTTTGCTGTCCAATTAGGTTAATGCTACGTTCAATGCGAAATAAATCAAAAACAATATATTCACTTATTAAGACACCAAGACAAAACTGAACTACAACATATAATAAAAATAAAACATAGTCTACACATTTTATTACATACAAATAATAAGCGTTAAAATAATTAATATAAAAGTTATGTTACGTTTAAGAGTTGATGGAATTTTTATTTTCAAAAACAAAGAAACAGTGTTCTCCTAAGTCCTAACTAAGGAGTAAAATCCTTCAGTTCGAAGTGTACATCTTAATATAATATAATACCTACCAGATACAGACGTCCGCTATCTACTCACGGAAATAATTCGTCTACGCCACAATATGCCGTTGTCGAGCAGGTACCGGTTATTGCGGTATTACACCATGTACGTTACCTTAATCACCTACTATACATGATTATACAATCATGCATACTAACATAATAAACAAAACTGCTAACAATAATACAACTAATCCGACTAGCCGCCTACTAATAAACCGATCTCTCCAATACAATTAAATAATTCAACAGACGAATGGACCAAAATCTCAATCAATTAAAGACATCGCTCTGGCTCATCAAATTTAGATACACACTCTCCTACTTGTCAACAACAAAAAGACAACTTTTTCACTCCTCATCGCTACAAAATACTTAGTCTAAATGAACAATTAAAAATATGCAGGACGATGATGACATATTCTATATATATCTTATATACGATTGAGCAATTGTCTTGAGCTTTGTACTGCACATATTGAACTAATTAGTGTCGGCAATTTCGTATGTAAATCGACATTTGATCGTTTAAAAATTCAAACTAAAGACTCCGAATCCAACAGAACTATAAGAAGAGAAGGCTGAATAATATCATACATTGATACCTACCAAAGAAAATAACCCAATCCATAATCTACACCCCTCTACATCGATAGAAACAATACAAAGAGCTATAAATACGCCTCTGAAATTAAGACAAGTCGCAAATTTGCTCCATAAAGCGAATAAGCCATCTATTAACGCTATTTTCGTGAATATAGAGCCTATAGATAAATACAAAGCAATAAGTGTGTAAATTGTCAAGAATATGACCATATCAAATCGAACCACGGCAAAAGGCACCCATTATCTAAGCGTCAAAATCCAAAATTCCTTAAGCGTAACTTTAAATCATTTATTTATCCTTTAATTGCATTACTCACAAAAGTAATATCTAGTTTAATTAACAACAAAAATAACTAACCATAACCATACATTAACTAACAATTCATTATTCATTTTACAATTTAATGCCAACGGTTTAAAAACGATATTAATAAACTTCAAACAACATCACATTCTAAATGTATGGACATTATACTAACCACCCCGACCATACTGCTCACGGTGGCGCGGCGTAGCCACTACTTAATAACCATGTTTATAAAATCCCCTATTGAATTCCTGCTCCTTCCATCTTTCTATAGACTATTGGTAATCATGTACTATACGTATAAAATTAAATAACATACCGTCTCTACTGCAGCTAATATATTCCCCTTTCAAACAGAATAACAAACTAACTTTTGAATGATTACTTTAATACAATACAAAGTAACTTTATAATTGGTGGAGATTATAATATTCCAACCATCAATTATTATGATCTTGTCTGTCATACTAACAATCAATAAATTTAGACACATTTGTCGTTAATATTTCAAATAGTATAAATTATACAACCGAAATCCCCTAAAACTGAATTCTGAAGTCTTATTAACCCTTAATACTTCACCTCTAATGCATCAAGAGCATCCAAGATTATTTAAGTTCCATACGTGATCAGCATAAATTTCGTGATACTGTATTGTTTAAAAATAAATTAAATCAAACGTAAAATTAAAATCTACTGACGACATAGATTTGTGTAGTAAGTAATCTTACAAACATTATAGAAAACTGCTGCTTGAGCATGAGATATTACAGATACTACACACTTCATACAGACCTTAGACTAAAGACTGTAAAGATCTACTTTATTTCGTATGTACAACAAAACAGAACGTTCGGTCGTCACGTGTCATCAGAGTATAATATAGATTACATAAAGAAAGAAGAAATCTAACAGCAAATGATAGGTGAAGACCAGTAGATACTCTGGCTTCGGTACCTAAGACGTTATAATAGGTGCTACGATCAAGATTTATTTTAGACAGTATGTTGGAAAATATTTTACAGATCCTATCACATCACAGTATAAGAAATAAGAATCGTAGTATATGATCTGCGACGTCAATTGTTTCGTTTTGGTCGACTTCGCATGAGAGCAGTACGAAGAAATAAAAACGTATGCTAGAGACTAGTGATAACCGTAAAATGACTGGCACCGTTCTAGAGCGGCCGTGTATTTTTCACTACAGTAGCAGCCACGTCGTGAAAATGTGTAACACAAGTTCCTGACGTACTTTTTCATTTTGTCATGGGAAGCAGCACTGAACGTCAGTAAAACTTCCCATGACACATGAGTGTCGTTTTCAGATCAAAATTCGATTTTTTTTTTTTAATCGAAAGCTAAATAATCTCGAAGAACATTTACATGAA